AAGAAATTTAATTTGGAAGGGAGTGACACAATGAAAAACATTTTGAAAATCTTGTATTACTTTAAAATATATATATAAACAATCTAATCATGCAAATTTCTTTAAATTAACAATTTGGTTATTTAAAAATGAATACTATTATTCTGCAACCTAACACTATTTAGGCCCTACAAAATTTTATTTCTATTTGGAGGCAAGACTCTGCTGCTCAATACAATTTAGGAATTTTTTTCCAAAATATAATATTTGGGATGACTAAGTGCCAGACCAAGTTATTGATATTTCATCATAGCTTGAAGAAACAGCTTTAAATGAAATTGATCAACTTATTAGAAGTTTGGATGAACCAATTAATAATTCAATTTTTATTCTAGAAAAAGAATTAGATAAACAGAATTCACTTGTAAAAATAAAAAAAAACCTCATGCAACCTCTTGAACCTCAGAAAGCCTCTCAAATCTCATCTTTTAAAGAAACAACTTGAAAGGAAAAACTTAACGATATTTTGGAAAAACTTCCTACTCATGCCAAGTCAAGAGAAAATCAGATCAAAATTCTTGAAGCTTACTATTATTTGGGAACCCTTATTCAAGAAAATGAAGCTAACCAGAAACAGATTAAAGAGCGAATACAGGAAACCAATAGTGCTCACAAAGCTCGAGACATTTAGAAAAGTGCTTGTTATATTCAAAAGATTTTTACTCTTTGACCAAAAGCTATAATTTATCAGACAAAATACTTGGCTGCTACACAAGTTGTAAGGCTTACAGACAAAGCTTTTACTTTTTTGATTAAAGACTTAGAAGATAAATTTGCAGAACAAATTTCTTAAGGGGACAGAAATGTTATAGAACAAATTTTATTATTATATTTTAGTATAGTTTCATAAATATATATTTTATTATTAACTGATGGCATTTTTATTATTATTATTATTATTATTATTATTATTAGTTATTATTATTATTATTATTTAGTTATATTAGGTAGAACAAATCAATTACAGAAGTTGATGCTTAACACTTAACACTTGATGCTTAATGCTTAACACTTGATGCTTGATGCTTAATGCTTGATGCTTGACACTTGACACTTGACACTTAATGCTTGACACCTGACACCTGATGTCTAACATTTTGCTCTAATAATTATTAAGCCTTAATGCTTAGCTTTAACGATTGTTAACAGATATATAAACCTCAAGAATTTCTCAAGTCAAGCAAGTCACAGACACTCCTCTCCCTCTACCTTTTAGTTTAGTAACTTCTGTAAAGTGTAAAAGAATTCCTTAGGAACAGAAACCTAACGAATAGCCTTATTCCTTTAATAAAGTTATTATTTTTATCTATAAACTATATTGATATTTCCTCTCTAGAGTAATTTCTATAGGCAAGGTCTATTGCTTCCAAGTTAATAAAGTTATAAACTGCTATATTGTCTTAACTGAACTGCCCAGAAAAGGGTATAGTTGCTAAATAGTTAAAGCTATTATATTTCCCTTTTGGATACCACTATAAACTTGTAAAAGATTTTTGTAGCTGTGTCATTGTTATAGTAAGAAGTTAAAGAAGGCCTTCTTACTGTAACAATAGTATCAATTAGTTTCTTATGCTCTTATTAATAAGAGTTTATAATTGATTTATATTCTGATAAGTGCTTTTTTTAAACCCATTGTATTAATTTGTATATACAAACTTATAATTCAGTTTATTAATAATTAATGCTAAAGAAAGTTGCAATTTTTAAGATTTCTATATAGTATAATACTATTGTTTAACATATTTGCAATTTAAAGTTTGTGTTTGTTATTTTTAGAATTGGCTTTTATATTGTTTTGATTACTGCTTTAAATAACTTTGTTACTTGTAACAAGTAAGTAAGCTTAAACACTATGCATATATTATTATATAAGCCACTTATGCTAATATTATTCTTTTAGTTTTGAAACTTCTTACTATGATATATACAACTTCTTGGCTCATGTTTTGACTAAAGACTTTTTTGGCTTTTTTTTTTTTTTTTAGTTTTAAGAGCAATCTTGCTTGTATTTTTATTATTATTAATAATATAAGATTACATATTATATACAGAGTATATCAATAAGAGTATAACTAGTTATATATATAACTTTAGTTATTATCTAATTAAGAGTTTTGCCTATAGGTTATCTACTAGATGTCATATCTGAGACCTGCCTGAGAGTCTCTTATTTAAACTTTTTGATTTTTAATACTTACTGCATATACGTATATACAATATATATTACTATTATAAAACAGAACAGGTTAAGGCTATTTTATTACTATTTATATTTAAGTATTATCTCATTAGATGTTACTAAGTATTTATAGTTCTTTGAATTTATCTTTGATACAAACTTACTAAGTATAGTACTAAGATTACCCCTTAGATTTTATCTATTTTAGTGTATACTATATTTACTAAACTAGTTTGATACCAGAAGTGTTCAAATTTCAGTAAGTCTATTTTTTTTCTATAGTTTTCTTTTATGTTTATCATATCACTTGCTAGCATGTCTTTTCTTTATTTCTAATATGTTTACTGCTTCTTTTGCATTGAGCATCAACTTTCTATATCAAGAAACTTCTTTTTAGGAACTTCCTTATATACTAATTTTCTATTTACATAGACTTAAGTCACAGAGCTTTATGTATATTCATATGCTTTTGTAAATTACAGATTTTTTTTCTCTAGCTAGAATTAAACAGTTGATCTTGTTTGTAGAAGAAAGAGTACCTAGACCACTAGGCTATAGGACTTCATCTCCTTTTTTAGCTTATTATTAAGTCATATTATCAAAATTCTTATTATTTGTTTTTATTTTCTTTTTGTATTTATTCATTGCCTATTTGTATTTTTTTATTTTCTATTTTTTTATTTATATTCATAACTACTAATTTGAATTTCTTTTCATTTATTTGAATATTATTAATTTTAAAAAATTTCTTTGCTATTTAAATTGGTTATTTTATTTGTTTATTGCTCTTGACAATTCAAGTTGTATTATTAGACAAAAGCTATTATTGCTTGCCTCTATTTTAGTTTTTTGTAATAGTTAAGATTGTAATTATATAAAACATCTACCTTAGCTATGTACCCAAGACTTAAGTTCACTTGGATTCTTTTAAATAGTAGGTCATAAAATATTTTCTATACTAATATTAATAAAACTTCTTTTTGTTCAATTCTGTACTTAACTTTCAATATTTTTGTAATTCTTTAATATGTAATAACTTTAGGTTGTCTGTTTTAAATAGGTTTAATATAAATAGAAGTATGATAATTTAGTGAAGTAGTCTGGTTGTCAACTCCAAATAGCAGATCTAGAGTTTAAATCTTATAAATAATGAATTTTAAAAATTATATCTGTGTTATAATAACTGTTTTTGTTAATTAGTTAAATTGGCATATTTGTAACTATTAGTTGCATTATCTCAAATAAAGCTCAAGGCATTTATGTAAAGTATAACATTATAGTTATATAGATAAATATTAATAATTGGTATTATATAAGACTTTAGTACAAACTTATAATAAGACTACTAGTTACAAAAAGTAAAAAAACTGAAAAGACAGAAACCTACTTAAAAATTTTAAATAAAAAGATAGTACAAAACTTTTAATAGTGCTGTTGAACTGATAAAAACCTATAAAACACCTTTAAAAAATAGGCAGATAAACTAAATAACAAGATGTATAGAAGAGCATATAACCAACCAGATTGGCAGAATTATCAGAAGAAAAGAATTCTAAGGTATATCATACTAGCCTATTTGAATTAAAAGTTTAGAAAGTTTTGTTAGTTCTAAGTAGCAGTTAGTAGAAAACAATAAAGCAAATATCAAAAAGATAAATATTAAGATTTTGAATAAACTTTACAAGAATATAGCAATTAAATGATTAGCCTTTAATTTTAATTAATAGTTTAGGCCAAAATAATATTGAGTCAGTTCTAAGTATAGGATACAAAAGACTTCAGTAGATTTTAGTACAAAGTTAAATATGACTTAGTAACTATGACATATTTTCATTGATTTACCAGAGTTATTAATAGTATAGGATAAATACAAGATCTAGAGTGTTTAAATAGAAGATCTATAGACAGATTTTAGATATAGCAACTAATATAAAATCTTTAGATGGACTATTTAAATTAGAAAAAACTAAAATTGTATAAGAGACTAGTTGTATACTCTTTTCATAATTATCTTTATATTGATTATATTAACAGATACTAGCTAATATATACTATTAATAAAATTTTAAGTTATATGTATTCACCTTAATGCATAAAAAAAAAGGTTTAATATAAATTTTATAATTTTTTAGGCATCTCGAGTCTTTTTATTATCAGATCTAGAGCTTGTAGAATACTGAATTGAATAACTTTTTCATGTTTTAAAAACTAGTCATAATTTCTTATTGTTGTTTTTAGTATCTTCTATTAGTACATTAATAATATATACTAGTTTTTTTGTTGAGTTTCTAAGAAGACCTGTAAAATTAAAATCTTTGAGTATTTTTTTTATAATAACCACTTGTGTTAGTCTGTTTGTTAGAATCTTTGTTATATATTTTCTTAGAGTCTTTAACAGAGCAATAGATCTAATATTATTTAAGTTATATTGTTATTTTGTTTCTTTTAGTATAAAGTATATTTGTAATATTTTTTATTTTTTTAACACAATATCTGCTTTAATGTATATTTCTGCAAAAGTTTTAAATATTGCTTGTATACATAAACCTACTGCTTGTATAAGCTTGTAAATAATTCCTATAACTCCTGAAGCTGTATTTTTTTTTAAACCTGTTAAGATTTCTGATTATTTATCTGTTATAATATCTTAGCTTATATCTTTATATCAATTTAACTGCATTGATATTTTGAGTTTGAAAATAGAACTTTTTCTATTTACTATTTAACTTTTCTTTTTTAAAATTTCAAAGTCTTAATTAGTTTTAAAACTATTTTTTTGTTTTGTTGAGTACTTTTAATAGTTCTATTAATAATCTTTTACAATTATTTTTGTCTTTTATAAGTCTATTTATTTGAATTTTTTTATTTGACCTGTCAAGCAAACTTGTAAATATTTTTTCTTGTTTACTATTGATCATTTGACATCTTTTTTTTATGTTTTTTTTCAATTTCTCATCTTTTTAAAATTTTAATTTTACTTAATTTTTTTGAATAAAATATTTTTCACCAATCTTTAAGATCTTCTATTAATTCTTTAGTTCAATCTTTTGATGCTAGTTCAATATATGTTTTTTAATTTTGGTTAATGTAATTTATTTTTTCATTAAGTTCTTATATATTTATTATTTAAAAAAGCTAAATCTAATATTTATTTTACTAATTTTAATTAATCTTTCTAATAGCAATTATTACAACTCTTTCTGCTAATCTTAATTTTGCAAAAGTAAAAAAAGAATACATCAAAGTTTACTCAAAAATTATTCTAAGAAATCAATTTTTTGCTACTAAAGAAAAAAAAAAAAAACTTAGAAACAGCATAAGTTTATTAGAACAACTTCTTAAAGAAGCTGCTTATTGAAAATATCAAAAAGCTTTTTAAAAATTTTTAAAAAATTTTTAGAAAAATTAAAAACTAGCTGTAATTCTGGAAAGCTAATTGATCGATGCATAAA